ATTTAGCTTCTCTAAGAACCCGAATTATAGGCTCAATGTCCTTTATTTATGGCTAGAAACCAAATATGAGTGAGTACATCCCATGTTCCTCTTTTTGGGTCTGGCTTACCTCACTCAGGATAGTGTTTTCTATTTCCATCCATTTGCCTGCAAACTTCAAGAAGTCCTTGTTTTTTACTGCTGAGTAGTACTCTAATATGTATATATTCCATACTTTCTTCATCCATTCTTCAATTGAAGGGCATCTAGGTTGTTTCCAGGTTCTGGCTATTACAAACAATGCTGCTATGAACATAGTAGAGCATATACTTTTGTTGTGTGATAAGGCCTCTCTTGGGTATATTCCCAAGAGTGGTATTGCTGGGTCCATGGGTAGGTTGATCCCAAATTTCCTGAGAAACCTCCACACTGCTTTCCAGAGTGGTTGCACAAGTTTGCATTCCCACCAGCAATGGATGAGTGTACCCCTTTCTCCACAACCTCTCCAGCAAAGGCTATCATTGGTGTTTTTGATTTTCGCCATTCTGACAGGTGTAAGATGGTATCTTAAAGTTGTCTTGATTTGCATTTCCCTGATCGCTAAGGAAGTTGAGCATGACCTTAGGTGTCTTTTGGCCATTTGAACTTCTTCTGTTGAGAGATCTCTGTTCAACTCAGTGCCCCATTTTATAATTGGGTTGATTAGCCTTTTACGGTCTAGTTTCTTGAGTTCTTTATATATTTTGGAGATCAGACCTTTGTCAGTTGTGGGGTTGGTGAAGATCTTCTCCCAGTCAGTGGGTTGCCTTTCTGTCTTAGCAACAGTGTCCTTTGCTTTACAGAAGCTTCTCAGTCTCAGGAGGTCCCATTTATTCAATGAGGCCCTTACTGTCTGTGCTGCTGGGGTTATACGTAGGAAGTGGTCTCCTGTGCCCACGTGTTGTAGAGTACTTCCCACTTTCTCTTCAATCAGGTTCAGTGTGTTTGGACTGATATTGAGGTCTTTCACCCACTTGGACTTGAGTTTTGTGCATGGTGATAGATATGGGTCTATTTTCATTCTTCTACAGATTGACATCCAGTTTTGCCAGCACAATTTGTTGAAGATGCTCTCTTTTTTCCATTGTATACTTTTAGCTCCTTTATCGAAAATCAGGTGCTCATAGGTTTGTGGGTTAAAGTCAGGGTCTTCTATTCGATTCCATTGGTCGACTTCTCCAACAGCATGAGTTTTGAAGCCAACAGGCCACAGCAAATCTATAGTACTCCCTTGGCAAGAGGGCAGGAGTCTGGAAGGATGTTCTAAATATAACTGAAGGCTGTATTTATGTGGCCACTGTGGAATATATATATATATGTACACACACACACACAAAATATTCCACAGCTTCAAAACTCATGCTGAAATGTGGTCCCCAGTGTAACAAGTGCTGAGAGGTGGTAGGTTGATATATACATACATATGTATATGTGGATCTCTATGGAAGGACTAATGGAAACAATGTGCAAGAGAGCCTGAGATAGAGTTTAAATCAGTACCACCAAGCATATGAAGTGCACATGGTAGCTAAATTCAGAATTTATTCCAAAAAACTGAAAAGAATTCATCCTCTGCAGTATGGGGGATGTCATAGACTGAATAATGTTCCTTCTCCACCTTAATCTATTTTGTGTTGTTGTAATAAAATATGTGGGGCTGGGTTAGGGTTTCTGTTGCTGTGAAGAGACACCATGACCACAGCAACTCTTTTAAAGGAAAACACTTAATTGGGGGGTATAGTCCATTACCATCATGGCAGGGAGCATGGCAGCATGCGAGCAAACTGTCGTGGACTATCAGTTGAAGATGATTGCATTTGTTTGTGCTGTGGAACATTTGTTCAACGATATAAAGATGTGTTGCATTCTGTTATGTTGCATTTGTTTAACTCTGTGAAGCTGTGATACGGATTGGACTAATAAAGAGCTGAACGGCCAGTCGCTAGGCAGGAGGAAGGGCAGGCAGGGCTAGTGGGCAGAGAGGATAAATAGAAGAAGAATGAGAAGAGAGGGAGGAGTGCGAGAAGAAGGAGAGGAGGACTCCAGGGGCCAGCCAGCCAGGCAGTCACACAGCAAGTCATGAAGTAAGAAGTAAAGAAGATTATATAGAGTAGAGAAAGATAAAAGCCCAGAGGCAAAAGATAGATGGGATAATTAGTTAAGAAAAGCTAGCTAGAAACAAGCCAAGCTAAGGCCAGCCATTGATTAAAAAAAAAAAAAAAAAGAATAAGCCTCTGTATATTTATTTGGGAGCTGGGTGGTGGGCCACCAAAGAGCCAAAAGAGTAAAATAAACAGCAGCTATAGAAGACACGGTGCTGGAGAAGAAGCTGAGAGTTCTGTATCTGGATAGACAGGCAGCAGGGAAAGAACTGGCTTGAGCACACGTGAGACCCCAAAGTCTGCCCCCACAGTGACACACGTCCTCCAACAAGACCACACCTCCTAATAGTGCCTTCCCTATGGACCAAGTAGTCAAACACATGAGTCTATGGGGGTCATACCTGTTCAAACCACCGCAGCTGGATATGTAAAAAGAATGGAAATTTATTCCATATAGTTCCTGGAGACTGAAAAGTCCAAGATTAAAGCCCTGGCATCTGGTTCCCAGTGAAAGTCTTTACATCACCGAGACAAGGCTGAAACCTCATCACAGAGACAGCTACTCACAGTGTGGCATTTAGGCAGCAGAGAGCCCGAATGAGTTACCTGAGATGAGATCTAGTCCCTAAGACACTCCCCCAGTGGTCTGTATCTTCCATCCAGGGCTCACCTCCTGGTTTCCATGCTCTCCCAGCAATGCTATCAAGTAAAGAATTCGTCTATCAATGGATCCACTGATGAAGGCAGAGTCTATGGTGGTGCCAATGATTTGGGTTTATTAACCTAGAAACCATGTCTTCAACATCTGAGTCTTTGTGCAAGCTACAACAGCCTCACATGATAGAAGGAACAGGGTACTGATGTGGAAGAAGAGCAGAAGAAAGGACATCCACTTCCCCTTTTATGATGACATCATTAGTCCATTTACAAGACTGGAGGAAAGAACCCCCAGGAGCCCATTGCAGTATCATTGTACTGAAAATTAAGTTTCCAACCCATGATCTGGAGTGTAGAGTTTGGGGGGACATTCAAACCATAGCAGTTCTTCCAGATATCCATCTTTTAATGCCACAAACCTGTAAATGTATTCTCTTAAGATGCTAGAAGCTGGGTGGTGGTGGCACATGCCTTTAATCCCAGCATTTGGGAGGCAGAAGCTGGTTGGTCTCCATGAGTTCGAGGCCAGCCTGGTCTACAGAGTTTAGAAGCCAGGGCTATTATACAGAGAAACCCTGTCTCAAACCCCCGCTCTCCCAAAAGATGATAAGAGACCTTGCAGATATTATTAAGTTGATGTTCTTGAGATGGGAAGATTTTTCCTGGTTTACACGAATGGATTGAAATCCCCTAAAAGAGGGAGACGGGATAGTAAGGTGATAGTGGGGGTAGCTGCTGGAGGGATGCAGGTCTGGAAGTCAAGAAGCCTGCAGTTTTTGGGTTCTGCTGCCTTCTTTAGCAACATTTGATGGAGGAACTTTTATACATTTATAATAGGTAGAAGTAAATCAGGTAAACCAGACTTTATTTTGAGCCAAGATTTCTCCGTGTAACAGCCCTAGTTGTCCTGGAACTCACTCTGTAGACCAGGCTGACCTCAAACTCACAGAGATCTGCCTGCTTCTGTGCCACCATCACCCAGATCAGCCTGCTTATTTAAACTGCAAACCATGTACCAAGTTTCTGGCCGAAATTGTGTAGAATAAGTTAAACACAACTGCATTCTATTATTATCTGAGACTATTTCTTATGCATATTATATAGAAATAAAGTTTTTAAAGTAGAAACAAAAACAAACAAAAAGAAGACTGCAGTCATGAAGGTGAACTCTCCCTGTGCTGGTTCAGTTTTTGACTTGACACGAGCTAGAACCATCTGAGAGGAGACAATCTAAGCTGAGAAAAATGCCTCCATCAAATTGGCCTACAGGCAAGCCTGTGAGACACTTTCTAGATTGAGTAGTGATGCATAAGGGCCTAGCCCACTGTGGGTGATACCATCCTTGGGCACGTGGTCCTGGGGTCTATAAGAAAGCAGGCTGAGCAAGCCAAAGGGAACAGGTCAGTAAGCAGCACTCCTCCGTGGCTTCTGCGTCAGTTCCTGCCTTCAGGTTCCTGCCCTGTTTGAGGTCCTGCCCTGATGGGGGGCGGGGTGACCTGAGAATTGTAAGATGAAATCAACCCTTCCCTTCCCAGGTTGCTTTTGGTCGTGGTGTTTATCACAGCAGTAGAAACCCTAACCAGTCAGTCCCTGTTGGGGTCCAGCCTCAACGAAATCCACACATTCCGGGGTAGGGACATGAGGATTAGAATTTTTAAGCCAAAGGACCAGAGATATGAGAGAAAGAATAGGTAGAAACACAGAATGCCATCAGGAGGGAAATTCAGTGACTACTGAACTGCCCACGTTCGTTTTCCACATGCGTATTATACTTCACTCCTAAAGGGAAGTGGGGAGGCAACAGACGTCACTGACGTGGTATAAGGAATAGAGTTGAATTCTCGACCTTTGGTCCAGGTGGAGCAGATCCACCTGTATACTCAAAATACTAATTAACCAGACCCTAGGTCAGGATCACTTGTTTGTAGCCACACCTGCTGTCAACAACTGAGAGCAAGAACAAGCTCAAACTCTCTGACCTTTAGTCAAGGTGGAACAGACTCACATCTGTGAGGCCCACAAGACCCCAGAGCTTCTAGAATGAATACCAGCCTGTCTATTCCTTGATCTATTTTTAAGGTTTATTTTGCTTTTACTTAACAGCAATTGTGTGCACTATAGGTATAGTATGATGTTTTGATATATGTATGTATCATGAAATGATCAAATCAGACATTTGACATTTTTTTCTGTAGTTAAAACATTCAAAATCTTCTCTTTTAGCTATTTTGACCTGCTCCATTTCTGACCTGGGCTGGTTTACAACCTCTTTAGAAAAGCTGGCGGTCTCCCACTCCTGAGAGGTCACTATAGGGACACTTGATCAACGGAATGCGCTGCAGCCTAGAACTTCTGGACTCAACTGATCCTCTTGCCTCAGCCTCCCAAGCAGCTGGGATTACAGGCATGTACCACTATACCTGGCCCCTTTAATTTGTTTGAAATGTAAAATGCATGATTTTTTAGCTATACGCGCTGTGCCCTGCAGTAGAACAGCAGAATATAGCCGCACTATGTAACTGACCCTTTGTACCAATTGACCATTTGCCCTTCGCTTGCTCATGGACTTTGATTTTAGGTTTCCTGACTTCTGAACCACGAGACAATAAATGTCTTGCTTTAAGCCACAGTGTTTGTGGTAATGTAGTACAGCAGTTGTCGGAAACTAATACAGGAAGAGTAAAGTGACTTCAACCCGATAGGCATGGCTTGGTGAACCCTGGTGGATAATGACTGGTTGACGTGCTCGAAGAGGTAGCCACCTTAAAGACATTCCTGCTATCAGCTGGAAGCAATCCCAGGCATGGAGACCCAGTGGTGAGTAAACGGGCATGGGCTCTTCCAATATGGAACTTATAGGCAGAGAGGAAGACTGACGTTAACTCCAAATTATCTTCCCTTGAAGGGCTCGATGTGCCAGCGAGGAGGAATGTATAGTGCTATGGAAGGAACTAGAAGGCGATTCCAAGGGTGAGTGGGGATTCTAAGGATGAGTGTAGATTAGCTACTTTGTGGTTGAAGATAGAAAGAATATATTGGACAGAATGAGGATCATGGTCAAAGGTTGCAGGTGGGAAAAGACATTGCATTTTAAGGTATTAATGCGAATCTAGTATTGTTAGAGCAGAGAAAATAAGAGCTAGAGTTGTACAAACGAGGGAGGGGAACACAGTGACTAGACCAAGCAAGGTCTTGTGGTCCCCCAAAGGAGAGTGACATGATGAGATGCAGAAACTTTTATAAAAATCACTCAGGCCGCAATGGGTGAAAGAATAGGTTGGAAGCAAGAGAGCATGTAGGGGGAGCCAAGTATAATTGGAGTAACCAGATGAGAAGTAATTGTAGCCATGAGCAGGCTAACGACCGTAGGGATGAAGCCAAGCGAGAACTCAAGAGATGGAGAGGACATGGCATTGGCACGTAGGGCTTGAGGGAATCACTGAGACACTGGCATGGAAGTGGAAGTGTAGGAATCAGCACTGAAGTGGCCAAATGAAGTCAGAGGGGGAGCGGGGCTTGTCTAGTAGAGAGAATCAAGAAAGGGGCCACGCATCGAGCTCCAAGGCACTTCTAGAAGCTGCGGAAGAGCAGCAACCATTCAGAGACCCGACTGTGACCAGAAGACAGTAGGAGAAAAAAGGGTGGACCTGAACTAAGCGGAGAGGAAGGCTTTTCATATGGGAGGGCTGATGATGAGGTCAGACGTCATAGGGCTCAAAAGAATCTCTTGGCCATACAATCAGTGGCAGCTTAGCAGAAATCTGCCGCCAGACTGGATAATAGGGGCTGCGAGGGTTCATTTGTGCTGTCAAGGTAACCAAGTTTGGAATCAGCTAGGAGATACAATTTAGGGCGTATCTGTGAGGACATTTCCAGAGAGGCTGAATTGAGACCAGCTCTGAAACCGGGTGGCACTGTCCCACAGCCTAGAGTCCAAGACCAAATAAAAAGGAAAAATAAAGGAGAAAGCAGTTGGCTGCTAGCATTCCTTTATTTTTGCTTCTTGACTGTGGGAGCAATGGGACCAGCTGCGCTAAATTCCTGCCATATTGGGTTGATTACATGCCCTCACATCTGTGCTGCTCAACCTTCCTCATGTTGTGACCCTTTAGTACAGTCCCTCGTGTTGTGGTTGTGGTGACCCCAACCATAAAGTTATTTTTGTTGCTACTTTGTAATTGTGATAGGTATGTAAATATCTATGTTTTCCAACGGTCTTAGTTGACCACTGCGGAAAGGTCATTTGACCCGCAGGTTGAGAACTGCTGCCTTAGACTGTGAGTCAAAATAAACTTTTCTTCCTTTATGTTGATTTTGTTAGGATTGTCACGGCAGTGGGAAAAGTAAATACAACAGGAGCACATCTGGCAGACACTAGCGACGATGGTGTCTTCAGGAAAAGCAGCACAGCTGGGGAAGTGCGCGCATGTGCACTAACCCCGTTAAGAACATGTACACACACACACACACACACACACACACACACACACTCTCACTCCCTTTGGGCTACTCTAATGCGATTCTATTGACTGCATGACTTACAAACAACAGAAATTCACTTCTCATAGTTCTGGCGATTACAAGGCTAAGATCAAGGTGCCAAGCAGATGTGGTGTTTTAGGAGGTCCTGCTTTTTCACAGACAGAATCTTCTTGCAGGGGCTACTCATAGTGAAAGGAAAATCGTAGCTGTCTGGAGTCTCTTTTACGTGAGTACTAATCCCAGTCACGAGAATCCAGACTCTCTGCAGTGCACTGTAGGTAGATAGGTCAGCGTACGTCCTGGGGGCAGCATGCAAACTTTCAGACCACAGCAGAGCGTCTCTCTGAATACTTGGCCTTTCCAGACCATCCCACCGCGGATTTTTCTGAGCTCTCTACTCCTTGCTTGCTACCATGTCCACCAGGTCCTGATTATTCTAACTTGAATTGTGAGTTCACTTGGTCTTTTGCCGGCCTCTTCTCATCCTCTTGGTATTGGTGGAGAGATTTTGGATCTCCAGGGAGTCTGAGTTAAGAAAAAGTTCACTGCCATTGTATGCTGAGAACACAGCAGCCATTCGCTGGAGACATGGCCACACCCAGACAGATAAAGTACAATAGGATGATAGTTCGGCAGGCGCGTTCCCAGAGAAGTGTAATAAAGGTAACAGGTAAGTCTTGTGCCTGGGAGAGGCCAGGAAGGCTGCCAGAAAAAGCACTGGGTTAAAGTTCAAGGGAAATAGACAACGTTGATTTTTTTTTCTACTGAAACTCAGCTTGTGCTTGGTCCAAAAGGAATTTCTTCCCTATGCTTATGAAATACACATGGGAGTGAAACTTCTATGCTGGAGGTGGCATGACGTCAAAATGGGAGCAGGCACAGCTTGGGTTGTGCTGCCAAACCAAACTTACCTGAGAAAGAAGTGACCTTCCTCACTGGAACCAGTGACAGCAGAAGTGCTTAGAAGAAAAAAACAAACAAAACAACAACAACAACAAAAATACAGTGAGCGAATGAAGCCATCCTGAGGGAAAGAGAGAAAGGGTCTCTACGACAGGCTGTGCAAGGAGAAACAGACTCCAAGCCTGACTTGTATCCTACAACTGCTTTCTGGCCGGGCGGTGGTGGCACGCGCCTTTAATCCCAGGACTCCGGAGGCAGAGGCAGGCAGATCTCTGTGAGTTCGAGGCCAGCCTGGTCTACAAGAGCTAGTTCCAGGATAGGCTTCAAAAGCTATGGAGAAACCCTGTCTCAAAAAAAAAAAAAAAAAAAAAAGACTGCTTTCTGTTGGGGAATAAGAGCTGGAATAATTGCAGAGCAATTTCAGAGCTCTAAACTCAGCTTTGAATACAGTCTTCAGTACAGACATAGCTTTTATTTGAACATTTTGCTGCAGGCACCTAACCCTTTCCTTACTATTTTTTTTTCTCCTTTGCCTTTGGAAATTAGTCCCTCAAATAAAATAAAATGATTTCTTATTCCCTGGGACGTTACTTTAGGACGTTAGGATCTGTTGACTAAGTTAGTGAGCGCCTAAGGCACAATAGCCTCAGGTGACGATGCTGGCATCGGTAAATAATTTATTAGAGCAGCCAATGCTCCTCTAATCGACCCACGGTCTCCTTTTCTGGGGTCAGCTCAAGTCCACTCTCCTTACTTTACAGGTGAGGAAAGATGAAGCAACTGTCCCACACTCAGCCAGTGTGGAAGATCTGATAGGGACACTTCAAGGTCGGATGTTTGCCTACACAAGGACAGCTGTTTGGATGTGAAACAGCAGCAGTGACCCCCCTCAAACAACTGAAGTATGATTGACAGCTGGAGCGGACTCTCTTCAGTTCTCACGCTAAACCCACAAGAACAGCTTCCTGACTCCACTCTCCCATTTGCAGATCAGGAAGTCGAGGCTCCAAGAAGTTAGACAACTCGTTTATTACCATAGCGTCATGAAATGATAGAACTTCCTAATCTTGCAGGAGGACCATGTAGGGCTATGTGTATCTAGGGCTGATCCTACTCCCTAGCTGGGACAGGTGATAGTTTACTGGTGGCCTATGGCATGGCTGAAGGTCCATCCAACCGAAATTATCAATCTGACTGCGCTGACATTGCTAGCAAAGGACAAGGCTGTTATCAAAGCAAGTTCCAGGAGAGCTAAGGCTACACAAAGAAACCCTGTCTCAAAAAACCAAAACCAGAACCAAAACCAAAATCAAAAACAAAAACTATCTTTGTCTCCGTCTCTTCCTATGCCTCCTCCTCTTTGTTTTTTTTTTTTTTTTTTAAAGATTGGTTTTATAGCCCAGGCTAGCCTTGAACTTGTTATATATCTAAGGTTGGCCATGAACTCTTGGTCTGCCTACCTTCACCTCCCAAGTGCAGGATTATAGGGCCATCCCTGCTCCTAGCTCAGGAATCTTTCTTGAGTGGGGGAGAGTACAGATTTCAACGGCAGGCGCTCTAAAGCCCTCAGTGCGTTAGAGCAAAGGAAAGTAGTGTTTTCTCACTTGCCACCGGTCGTGTGCACCAAGGACGAGGGTGCTGTAGTTATGATGTTTCCATGAGGCTCATCTGTGCAAAGAAATTTTAATTTTATAGAACATACCCACTCTCTACTTGGTTTGGCATCATCTCCCATCCTTACATAAGACTTCAGATCAATCATGGCAGAGAGAAAAGCCTTGGCAACTGAATGAGACCTTGACCCTGGAAATCTTAACAACTTGGAAATTCATCTAGGTCAAGTTCGATTTCTTTCTTTCTCTCTTTCTTTCTTTCTTTCTTTCTTTCTTTCTTCCTTTCTTCCTTCCTTTCTTTCTTTCTTCCTTCCTTTCTTTCTTTCTTTCTTTTTTGAGACAGGATTTATTTCTCTGTGTATCCCTGGCTAT